GCCTCTCTTGCTATTATTGATTGTCCTCTCCCTTTCTTCGGCTTTCCCCTGTAATTTTATCACATTGGTCAACAAACCAAAACCATGTATCAGAGACATACAGGGCAGGTACGAACGAGGTAAAGTAAGCTAGGTCGGGAAACTAACTGTGTCGACAAACCACCCTTAGATCGCCCTGGCCCTAATTCAGCTCGTCCATCTATATTATACAGAGATAAAAGTGTGTAAAAACTGATCCAAGATTTGCAAAAGAGAATTCAGCGTAGTTGTTTGCTGCAGGGTTTACCTTCTCTTCCAACACCAAGTTCTTCAGCCTGAATACATATCAGGGAAGATCAACATACCAGTCTAAAAACCATTTTCTCTAAAGAAGGCAGAGTAATAAACTAACAAATGACAGTCACAAACATAAGACACATATGCATTTCGTAGAACTCTAGCTCTTTCACAATCATAGATTCAGCTTTCACACTTGTTTGAATCTGCTAGAGATATTAGCCATGTAGTATTCAACCATATCTAAAGCCACTGATTCTCAAACCAAACTACCTACTATAAAGGGAACCATAGGTTCTTTGGGCAGTTGATTCTATTACAAACCAACACAAGAAAACAAAAAACGTCTTTGCATATAATAGAAGGTGATAAAAATTGTCTAAAACATACAGCTGGTGATGTAACTGAGGACAATGAGAAGACTCTGTCTTCAGGCTGAAACTTCCTTGACCTTTTAGCACTGCAGAAATGGGTTCATAACTTCATATCAACCTCAATTTCTCGTTCCACACAACAAACATGCTAAAAACTGAGAAGTTACCACATTCTCTAAAGTGTATGAAGCTGCAAATAGAATCCAAAAGTCAATGTTTTCTACAGAGTCAAGAGAATGAGAGACCTAGCAGTACTCTTGGAAGAAGACAAAAATCCTTCAAAGCCTTTCAAAGCATTTCCAATATGACTCGATTCTTGAAGATAGCTTGTCTCCAATTCATAAACCTAAGATTACAAAGAACCAAAGATTTTTAGTGTATGCCCCAAACAATAATTTCTCTATGAAATCGAATTTCACAATTGAATCGACTCTGGACCATTTGTGCCCTAACCTGTTTCTCGATGCTTCGTAACTCTTGGCGAAGCTTCTCTCGCTTGTTCAGAAGAGAAGTGAGCATCGCACCAGGATCCGTCGAACTCTTTTGCCCTAACGACATTTTCTGGGGGGAAAAATACACAAATTGCGCAGCTTTTGCCCTTCCCAGAAATGGGTTTTCGCTGAAATTCGACGCGGAGGTAACCGTTGCCTGATTTGAGTCGATTACGATGGAGACGATGATGTCTGGAATTCGATTTGGGGGTTGTTTTCACCAATGGTCCGGTTTGATGTCAACAAAAATAAAAATGGTCACCAACGGTCCGGTTTTCACCAATGGTCCGGTTCTCTTTTCTTTTGATAACTTTTTTTATGGGTCAGAGATTTTATTACTCAACTAGCAATTGACCAAATAGTCTACGGCCAAAAGTGGCTACCTGCATTGCTAAAGAAAGAATCAGCCAAAGAGTTGGCATTGCATGGAATAAACACAAGTAAAGTGAGAAGCATGGAAAAAGAAACTGAAGTTCTTCTACCTCTTGTAAGAATATTGAAAAATATGGTGGTATTTGCGATCCCATTGAATCTAATGTTTAATATAAAATGTAGTGATGTGCAACAAAATAGGTAAAATAAGAAATGCTTTGTTAAAAGTCATTGATATAAAAAAGTTTGATGTCCATGGAAAAAAAAATAAGTTTCCAGTATAACGCTTGATTGGTTCGATACTTCAATTTGAAGCTGTTGAATTATTTTAGCAGTAGAACGTGCATAAGGTCCAACCAATTACTCAGTAAACTATAATAAACGAGTGATGAACTTAGATTTCTGGTAGCCTAAAATCACTAGCTTCTTTATAAAGTTTCCACTATGTCACATATTCTCGGTGTTTTATGTTAGGAATAGGAGCATCTCCGCTGAAACCCCGCCGCAACTTTCTCCCAACAAAATAGACATTTAGACTTTACTAAGAGACGACGACTTCAAAGTCTTTAATTATAACTTAATGACTTAATAACTCGGGTCATTTTTTAATCTTTGTCTTGAATTTTTCTCCTAATTATTTCCGACTAAAGAAACACTTTCCCTTAATTTATATATAGGTGACCTGACCACCACTCCTTCCGATCATCATGACTCGACGTGGCTCGAGACAAAACTTTTAATATAAATGGACGAACTTTTTGTCTCAATCTCGTCAACCTTTAGCAAAACCTCTTGCATTACTGATCTTCTTCTTCCACTTGGTAAGTCTTTCTCTGCCCCCTCTTCATGCAATGGTTGACTTTTTTGTTTGTGGTCGTGGAAGTTAGTAACTTAAATCTGTGTTTCCAAACTATTTGTGTGATTAGTTTAGGTTTGCGATGGACAGTTCTGAAGCAGAGCTAGATAGAATTGAGGCACAAAGGTCAACGGATGCGTCTCATGATCAACAGAACAGAACATACTTACCCATGAACATACACGGTTCACAAGACTTCTCTCAAAGCGGAGGAGATGGCGCTAAGCCACTTACAGGAGACACCGAATCTGTGCAAGAGTTCCTATCTAACCTTAGATTATCGGATCTTTTCACTCTCCCTGGTGAAGATGTCCAGATGACTCCGGAGATTTTTAGCGAAATGAGTGATGGGAACAAAGAATGTCTGGAGAAGTTGAGAAGCCATGGAACGCCAATGGAACGTCTCAAGAGCGATACAGGAGATTCAGTTCTTCATCTTGCTGCTACATGGGGTCATCTAGAACTAGTGAAGGAGATTGTCTCTGAATGCCCGCGTCTTCTCTTGGAGCAAAACTCAAGCGATCAGACACCGCTACATGTGGCGGCTCATAGCGGTCATACCACTATTGTTGAGGCTTTTGTCGCATTGGTAACATTTTCTTCAGCTAGACTGTGTAATGAAGAGAGTGAGAGAATGAACCCATATGTTCTCAAGGACAAAGATGGAAATACTGCTCTGTACTACGCGATTGAAGGGCACTATTTCGAGATGGCTGTATGTCTGGTGAACGCAAACCAGGATGCTCCTTTTCTTGGAAATAAGTATGGAGTATCTTCCTTGTTTGTGGCAATAAATACTGGAGATGTATCTCTTGTGAAAGCAATTTTGAAAATCATAGGCAACAAGGACCTTAAAGGGAAGAAGTCTAACTTGGAGTCAAAGTTACAAGGGCAGAAATCTCTTGCACATGTTGCTTTGGTGACCCAGAGTATAGGTTTGTTTTTCGCTTTAACCAGTAGCAGCTGCATTTATTCTATTCAAATATGTAAAACCAGTTTGAGACGGGAATTTCCTCCTCAAGGCGGTAAAAATATTTGTATGTATACTAATTGTTGTTCCCAATTGTTTGAGCAGATGTCCTTGATGTTATTCTTGATGAATATCCAAGTCTTATGGACGAGCGAGATATAAATGGTTGGACTTGTCTTTCACTCGCAGCACATATAGGGTATTATGAAGGAGTATGCAACCTCTTAGAACGATCAACAAAGGGTGTTTATGTCTGCGACCAAGATGGTTCTTTTCCAATTCATACAGCTGCAGAGAAAGGTCATGAAAATATTGTTGAAGAGTTTATAAAACGATGTCCAGGTTCAAAACACTTACTTAACAAACTTGGTCAGAACGTTCTCCACATTGCAGCAAAAAATGGGAAATTTTGGATTTCGAACATGTTGATAATTAATAAAGATACGGAACATCTGGGTGTTGGGCAAGATGTGGACGGGAATACACCTTTGCATCTTGCCGTCATGAACTGGCACTTTAAATCCATTACTTGGCTTGCTAGGAGTAGCAAGATACTGAAAGTGCGGAACAAAAACGGCTTAAGAGCTAGGGATATTGCCGAGAGAGAGGTGAAACCCCACTACATCTTTCAGGAGGTATGTATAATTTCGTTTCATACAACAAAATTTGATATCACATAAATGATTTATAGCTCGACCCCCATTTTTTGAGTTACAGAGGTGGACACTGGCGCTCTTATTACACGCTATTCACTCAAGGGGTTTCGAATCTGTACACTCATTAACAAAACCGTCAGTGCCACTAGACCCTAAAAATAACAGAGATTACGTCAACACTCTTCTCCTGGTAGCTGCTCTTGTAGCCACAATGACGTTTGCTGCAGGTTTTACAATACCAGGTGGGTTTAACAGCTCTGCTCCACACTTGGGCAGGGCAACTTTGGCCACTAATCCAACTCTCTTCATTTTTCTGGTACTTGACATCTTGGCCATGCAAAGTTCCGTTGCAACAATAGGTATTCTTATTTGGGCGCAGTTAGGTGATCCAGTGCTCATTCGCTCATCCTTACATGTGGCTTTGCCCTTACTGCTTTTTGCTTTACTCTGCATGCCCTTGGCATTCCTTTTTGGCGTGGTCACTGCAGTTGGGCATGTGAAATGGCTTGTAGTCATCATTTGCATTATATCTGTTTTATTCTTTTCTTGGGCGATCTTTGTCCTTGGCCCTCACGTCATGCTACAACGGTCATACGTTTCTCCCAAGTACGCTGGTGACTTTCTCGTGACTTTTATGCAGTATAAAGACATAATTGGGCTTTTTGTGTCTTTGATAAAGTTTCTATTTTGTGGTTGTTATTAAGAGTTTGTAGCCTATTCAAAGGCATTCTTCGTATGAAAAAATCATCAAAAGTTTATTGATGAAAGGAGATTTTTGTTCTCTTTCAAAATAAAAATAAAAAGCTAGATATGATGGTCTCTCTGAGAAGCGGTATCTTGGTAGCTTTAACTGATAGCTCAACTCACTCAATCCGTAGTCATCGAACACCGACTTCACAAGCTTGTCGTGCGTTATTTCCGTATCTATTTGCACAACTCTACATCATTTATCGACGGTGTTAAATACAAATTTTTTACCCAATCGTATCGAGAGAAGGATGAAAGAAGAATGAGGAAGACGGTGATGAATTGGAAATTCCGATGATGTGAAAAACTCATGTGAAGAAGACGAGTTGAAAAAAAAAACGTTTCGTATTTCCTTTGATGATGATGACATGGACTGTTGCATCCGACATCATTTTTTTAATTGATAAAGTGACAAGTAAGCCACCAAACAAACATGAAAATTTGCCTAAATAAATCAGCCAAATAAAGCTATATGTTAGTCGCAACATGAATACTATTACAGTAATTAAAAACGAAAAAACGGCAAGTTACTTCAGCCGTTTAGCAAACAAAATAAAACACACACACATGATTCGATTGCTAACCAACACAAGAAACAAAACAAACACATCTTTGCCTATAAGATAATGTGTATAAACCATACAACTAGTGATGTGACGGAGGACAATGAGAAGACTATTTCATTATGCTGAACCGTCCTTGACGTCTTAGCAGTTAGCACTGTAAAATGGGTTCATATCATAGTAAACGAATCACTCTACACAACAATTACATGCTAAAAACTAAGAAGCTAAGTTACCAAATTCTCTATAGAAATAGCAATCACTTACAATAACCAATGCTACATAACAACTTTTGAGTCCATAACTGATAAATTGATAGAAACTGTTTGAATTTGCAAACCCAAAACCGTTTCTTAGGATGGAGAAATGGGTTTGTATTTTTCTATTTCCGATCAAGGAAAAATATATCAGGCAACAACTGCGGAAGATGGGGCATTTTGGGATGAAGGAGGAAACCATAGTTAACAAGCGGAAACAATTTCAAAGGTTGATTTCAAAGATCATAAAGTCAAAGTCAAATCCCCATAGAGAGACTCGGTTACGGAAGTGTTGGTATCCGAATATCCGATAGTCATAGCCTCAGAACTTATGTTGGAATCAATAGGTTTAACCATGCAGTGTGCACTTTGGAAATCAAGCCAAGAAAAGCTATCCACGCAAACAATTTGCGTTAGAGCGAAATCGGATAAAGAGAAAGAAAATATAGGATTTAAAAATCTTATAGCGAGTAAGACTTATTTGAAACATCGTCAAATTTACTTCTTTTGGTGTATATTTCTCATTATATGGCGTATATATCTGTTTATGTAAGAAATTGTTTCCAAAAATTACTGTATACTGACTTTGTAATCTTGTTTTGATATCAATGAATTTATAAGGAAAAAAATAAAATAAAAATATAAAGTATGATGTACATGTAAAAAAAGTTGTTTCAAGCGTAATTGTTTTTTGGCTAGAGAATGAATATACAGCAACAGTAAACTAATAAACTTGCGATGAACTAAAATTTCTGGTATTCCTACAATCAATGAATCACTAATTTATCTATAAGTTTTAGCTATATCCGCTTAAACCCCGCCTCAACTTGCTCTCTGGTCTGGGTATAGTTGGGCTACAACAGTGAAACCGTAATTAGGAAAGAAATGATAAAAACCCAATCCAGAAGCTTACTGCAAGATAAAGAGAAAGATCATAAAGAGGTAGGAGTGATTCATATAACAAACAGGGTCACGTTGTCACTTTCTCCCAGAAAAATACAAATTTAGACTAACTATATAAGGAGACGACTTCAGAGTCTTCTAATGGGTTAGTATAACTCGGGTCATCTTTTAATCTCTGGCTTTAAAGACATGGTAAGATTCCATATATATGAAAACTCTGTGTGTGGTGGATTGCTTTTTTCATTTAAGGCAAAGATAGGTTTTAAGGCAGAAGACAAGAACGACCTTTGGCTTATTTATAGGAGACCACCACTTTCACTTGAGTCGAGACAGTAACGACATTTAGAATTTGCATTACTCATCTTGTCACTTTCTCCCAGGAAAAAAAAATACAAATTTAGACCAACTATATTAGGAGACGACTTCAAAGTCTTCTAATGAGTTAGTAACTGGGGTCATCTTTTAATCGCCGGCTTTCAAGACATGTACAATTTCATATGAAAACTCTGAGTGTGGTGGATTGCATCCAAGACAGTTTTAAGACAGAAGATAAGAACGGCCTTTGCTTATTTATAGGAGACCACCACTCCTCTCGATAACCATGACTCGAGACATTAACGACTTTTAAAACTAAGGGACGAACCTTAAGCAAAAGCTCTTGCATTACTCAAATTCTTCTGCCACTTGGTAAGTCTTTTTCTCTGCCCCTTCTGCATGCAATGGTTGACTTTTTTGTTTGTGGACGTGGTAGTAACTAGTAAACTTAAATCTGTGTTTTCACTTTTCAAACCATTTGTGTGATTATTTTAGGTTTGCGATGGACAGTTCTGGAGCAGATCTAGATAGAATTGAGGCACAAAGGTCAATGTTAGTTTCTCATGATCAACGGAAAGGTACATGAGTCATAGGGTGGCCACAAATTTTGAATATTCATTACATGTGCTTTATTAACGAGTATAGTGACCCTATATAAATTATTATTGACACCTATGCAAAACCAACCAATCTACATAAAAAAGATAAGGAAAAACTATTCTACTTGATTCTTGTTATAAACTAGGATATAACACTAGGATATAACTAGCAATATACCACATAACAATTATATTGTTTTATAAAAATTTAATAAAATTAGTCTTATTCAACATGTCTTTTATTAACAAAATAATTAATAAAAATATAACCCATATGAATTACCGGTTAATAATATTTTAACTTTTTATTAATATCGATTCAAACCCGTTTCACCATATAACATGTCTCACAATATAACTTGTCCTATATTATTTTAAATTGTTTATATGTTTAAATATATTTATAATATTTTAAACTTTTTAATTGAATTTGGATTTATTAATTATAATATTATAACTTAAAAAATTTACTATATCAGGTAAACTTAAACATTTCAACTATAAAAAAAACCGTATAGAAACTTTGTAAATTTGGATATTTACTAAGTTAAATTTCATGTTCATTAAGATTCGAATTCATTTTTTATCTTATTTTTTTTATGGCTCTGAACGATTGTCTAAATATTTTAGCTGATGTTGGACGTTGAACTCAATTTATTTTCTATTAATTGAGTAATATATGTTCGTTTTAAACAATTGGAATCACAAGAATACAGACAAATTAAACTTTTTATGTCTTATATGATGATTCAAAATAATTAAAAAATAAATCTTAATGATAGGAGAATCATTCTTTTAAATTTTATGATTTTTTTATTTTATAATTGATGTTAAAATCTTTTAATTGTAAAGTTGTTTGGTTATAACTTATAAGTAATGACATTCTTTGTAAATACTAACTGAAAACAAAGTTACTCTCTAAAATGTAATTCAAAAATATTAATATAGATAGTTAAGAACTAATAAATGTCACTATCCAAGATTTATATAATTTAGTAAAAAATCTACATAATTTTTTTTTAACAAAACGCGCAAGTGTTTATGTTCTTTTCTCTTATGAGTCTTCAACTTGACAAATCTCGATTAGTTAAAATTTAGATTAATTTTGAATTGACTATTAGATAAAGATATTTATGATTTTATTAACTTATTATATTCTGATATTTACAAATTTATATTTTAGATTTTTCATAAGTTAATTGATTTCATAGTTAGAACTCACAAATTTTGTCTCATGAAATGTAAGACGAGTGGTTAATTCGATTGATGAAATAAAACAGTAGAAATATTTTGGCAAAAAGAAAACAATCGTAAGTGATACAAAATAGTTAGAAGTGATAAAAATTAGCGATAAGAGAGCTGTAAAACTTTCGATATATCTACATAAGATACTAACTACTATACTAGTAAATAACTATTTTGACCCTGGTAACAAATTGTTTTACCAGATTTCTCTCACAGCGGAGGAGTTGGCACCACGTCACCTACGGGCGACACCGAACCTGTGCCAAAGTTCCGTACTAACCTTAAATTGTCGGATCTTTTCGCTCTCCCTGGTGAAGATGTCGAGATGACTCCGGAGATTTTTGGTGGAATGAGTAATGGGGAAAAAGAATGTCTGGAGAAGTTGAGAAGCAATGGAACGCCAATGGAACGTGTCAAGAGCAATACAGGAGATTCAATTCTTCATATTGCTGCTAAATGGGGTCATCTGGAACTAGTGAAGGAGATTATCTTTGAATGTCCATGCCTTCTATTCGAGCAAAACTCAAGCCGTCAGACACCGCTACATGTGGCTGCTCATGGCGGTCATACCAAAGTTGTTGAGGCTCTTGTTGCATCGGTAACATCTGCTTTAGCTAGTCTGAGTACTGAAGAGAGTGAGAGACCGAATCCACATGTTCTTAAGGACGAAGATGGAAATACTGCTCTGTACTACGCCATTGAAGGACGCTATTTGGAGATGGCTACCTGTCTGGTGAACGCGGACAAGGATGCTCCTTTTCTTGGAAATAACAAGGGAATATCTTCCTTGTACGAAGCCGTAGACGCTGGAAATAAATTTGAAGACCTTGTGAAAGCAATTTTGAAAACCACAGACAACGTGGACCCAGAAGTGAGGAAGTTTAACTTAGATTCGAAATTGCAAGGGAACAAACATCTTGCACATGTTGCTTTGAAGGCCAAGAGTATAGGTTTGTTTTCTGTTTTCTTTAATAATCAGTAACAGCTACGTTTAATCTGTTAAAAATATGTAAAACCAGCTTGGGACGAGAATCTCCTCCCCAAGATGGCTAATTGTTGTTCCCAATTGTTTGAGTAGGTGTCCTTGATGTTATTCTTGATGAATATCCAAGTCTTATGGACGAGCAAGATGAAGATGGTAGGACTTGTCTTTCATACGGAGCATCCATTGGGTATTATAAAGGAGTATGCAACATCTTAAACCGATCAACAAAGGGTGTTTATGTCTGCGACCAAGATGGTTCTTTTCCAATTCATTCGGCTGCAAAAAACGGTCATTACGACATTATTATTGAAGAGTTTATAAAACGTTGTCCAGCTTCAAAATACCTTCTTAACAGACTTGGTCAGAACATTCTCCACGTGGCGGCAAAAAATGAGGCCTCTCTTACTGCATATATGTTGATGCTTGATAAAGATACGAAACATCTGGGTGTTGGGCAAGATGTGGACGGGAATACACCTCTGCACCTTGCCGTCATGAACTGG